GAATAAGCTGTAGTTCAAGTGCATCTGATTAGACACAGTACACAATCAAATTTACCTTCATTTAAGCCTCTACAAAACTATGCAAAAACATAGCAGTGCTTATTAGTCCCTGTTTGGATGCAGTCCGAAAACGAGGACTTGTGTTTGGACCTCTGTGCATCCATGTGTGCGTGCGTCCTGACCTGTTTCTTAGAAATGCCTAGACCAATCACAATCAAGCTTCACACATACATCATACATGACATTATACATGTGCACATCAATTTGTTTCACGATCTCATTCAAGATGGCCAAATGGCAGCCATTTTTGTACTGAAAAATCATCAAAATTTAGCATTTCTCTGATGGATTTTGTTCAAACTTGGTATATACATTGGACATTATAGGACCTTAGTGCACATCATTTTGTTTTTCAGATAAGATTCAAAATGGCCGACTAGTGTTTTAATGAATGTGGTTCTAGTGCCATATCTCTGACATGTTTTGACTTATTTTGTTCAAATGTCAAATATTCATTAAACATCATGTCATAAATATTCAGATGTATTGGTTTGACGATCCTATTAAAAATGGCCGAATGGTGGCCATTTTTGTGCTAAAAAATCATCAAATATCAAGCATTTCTGGCATTTATGGATGGATTTCGTTACGAGTTACTGATGCACGTCATGTTATTTTTCAGATTGGATTCAAAATGGCCTATTGGCGGCCATTTTGTTTTAATGAATAGTCTTCTTGAGCCATATCTCTGACATGCTTTGGCTGATTATGTTCAAATTTGTTATATTCATTATACATCACGTTATAGATACATGTATTCAAAATGGCTGATTTTGTTTTAATTAATGCTGTTCAAGAGCAATATCTCTCAATGTGGACAAGTACTCATTTGACGATCAGATGCAAATGTCAATCATTTTAAACATTTTAAACAATCATCATAATCATATTCATGACATTATATTCCAGCTATATTAATATAAACAAAACTATATATCTCAAATTTGATAACTAACAGGGACTAGCTGTGCCATGCATGGCTTGTTTGTTTAATTTTTCAAATAGCTATTTGGGTAGCATCCCAACAAAATTTAAGTTTTTTGATTAGCTATAATGATTCATCGAAGTTGGATTTAATGTGTTTTCATGGCTTAAACCATTTTGAAATTTCTGATTTATTTGTAGATTAATCTTATCTTTTTAATAATGGCTGGTGTAATCATGTGCCGACATACAGTATCCCCAGCCAATAGGAACAATGATAAAATAAACAAGTTAAGGTAAGATCCAGTCCAATCTGAACCTATGGATTTTCATGGCATTAATATATTGACACATCTCTTGCTGAAAGCCTTCAGGAATAATAATATTTTTTATTTGTTTATTGAATATTATCTGGACCAAATCTTTATAATTCACACTGACGAACATTTATGAATGCTGTAAAATATTGTACTAGATCTAGTTCTATATTTGTGAGAAATTGACAATTAAGCTTACAGTCTAGTGTGAAGCTAGGTTGAGAGATATAATATGGCTAAACCAACAATAGAGGCAAAAAATGGTTTTTACTCATTTTAAAAGTCACAAATATATGGTATCTCTTACTATGCTTTGTAGAAGTGTATCTCTACCTTTTTTATTTCCTTACTTCAT